CTCCTCGGGTGCGCGGTGGGGGTGCGGCCTGGAAGTCCCCTCTCCTCTCCCGGTGCTGCCTGCCTGGCCCCGGAGCTGGGGGTTGCGCCTTCCTGGCTGGCGTGGTCGCTCTGTTAATGCTCGGCCTCCATGTAGCGCGGCGACGTTCAAAGCGCGTCTCTTCACCTACCCGCCCACCACGGTCCTCGGTCCTGTCAGGCACCTCGCGTAGTATGAGAGGCTTGCCCGCCTTTCCTTTCCGAGTCTTCCTTCTTTCCCTTCCTTTCCGTGTCTTCCTTCTTTCCCTTTCTCCTTCTCCCTCTCCCTCTCCATCCGGAACGCGTGGCTAAATTGAGAGTGTAAACGAAACCTTCCAGGCCACGCTTGGAACTGGAGGAAGCTTCCCGGGTAGCCCTACTTTTAGGCTACCCAGAACAGCCTTTCGTGGGACGCAGGAGGAAGGAGTAGGTTACTTTATGTGTGTTGGGGGCCGGGAGGACTTGTTGCCACGAGTTGCTTTAAAACCGGTCGGGGCTCTTGCCAGCACAGTAAGGGGTGTGTGTCTGGTATGGGAAGGGAGAGATGGGGAGATGCTGGTCATCTTTGTCAAGCACAATTTGCACTGGCAGAAAGACTGAGCAACTTGAAGCTACACACTGTGCTGGTTCCCTGAGTTGGGGAATGCTGTAGTGCAGACTGTGCTCTGCTGAAGGATGTTCACCCTTACAGCCTTGGTATTTAGGTGGCATTCTACATTAGCTTCCTTATTACTCTGTGGACATGTGAATATGTAGGTGGAGAAACGCTACGCCCACTCCCATTAAAGACACCATGTGAATGCTGTTGTTTTAAGTATACTGAAGCAGATGAAGAATGTGAACAGGACAAGTTTCTTCCGTGTTATTTTGGTTACTGGATAAGAAGATAGTGTAAAAGACTAATCGTTCATCTGAATGCTCGTATCCCCACTGTTGGCCCAAAGGCTCTAATGGCAGATGACATACTGAAAACATCTACTGTCTTGAGTGCAACCCCCAACTAAGAACTTAAGAGCCTCCATAAACAGATAGAAGGGAGGCTGCAAGATGTATCACAAGCAGAGCAACAGAACAAGAAACGATTTTAAAATGCTAAAATGAAATTAAACTAGGCAACTATGAACACTAAGACCACCAATAATTAAAGCTGACATAATAAATAACCATAAACCAGCTCACAATTTAACAAAAGACCTGAGTTTACAAAAATGTGTTTGTCTGATAATGAAACAACGTGAGGTCTGGCTCCATGTGACTAAGTGAGGGGAGGGTATGTAAAGAGATATAGTGACTGGACCTGTGATCTTGATTGGTTTGCAGGAATATGAGGAAGTAAGTAGTCTTTCAAATGTCCTGGCTATATGTCATTTAGCTGTGTGAAGAAATTTCAGGCAAAGCTGGAAACCAGTTTAAAGAGTTTAAAATTGTGTTTACAGCTTGGAAGGTATTAAAATTGGATACGCTAATAATATGTTTAAGTTCCTGTAAGTTTTGCACCCTTAAATTGAACCCCATTTGGAAGAATTTTGTTCATGATCTTTAGTATAGAAATGTGTGGCAAGAAAAACATGAGGAGAAACTTTGTTGCATAGTTGTAAGATGTTATGTTTCACTTACTTTCTTGGTCAGGTGCATGTTCCAAGTCTTCAAGCAATTATGGATAAGCGGGGTGCCTTGACAGAAGCTGTGAATGGTGATACTTTGCTTGATGTTAGCAGAATTAGTGCAATGAAATTTCCTCATCGTTACACAAAAGTAAGATGCTATATCTGTTGCTTAATAACTGTGTATGAAGTGCTAATGGATAAAGTCTGCTAATACACTTGTTGACAGTCTGCACAAAAGCACCTTACAGATGAAAGCTCAGAATTATTTACACTGCAGAGAATTTATTTAGTTATTTATTGGATTTATATCCCGCCCTCCCCACAAACAGGCTCAGGGCGGCTCACAGTTAGCGGCACCATGTGCCAAGTCACATAATACATATAAAAACAGAATCAAACAGTCATACAGTACACAATTAAAATGCTTGCAACGATGGTCGTTCATTTAATCAGTTAGGGATGGCGTGCTATAAGGTGTAACACTAGAGTCCCAGTTCAGCGGTATGCCGGCCGCAAAGCTGTGGCTCGATCTCAATAAAGGGCCAACCTCATTACCACGATGTTGATAATAATACTAGTTGGTGGTAGTGGTGGGCGGCTCCTAGTTAAAACTAAAAGGAAGGCGTTCCTTAGAGTTTCAACATTTGGACTGCTGGTGTTTCCTAAAACTAGTGGTGGTTCCACTTTTCTTCTCATACGAGTAGAATGAGAGTTATGCATATTGTGGACTTCCTTGGTTTTTTACAAGCGAGATTGCAGATATACTCCATTCTTGGGAGGGCACTACAAACTATTACACTTTACCCGATCTTAGCTCATTTGCACATGTATCTGAATTTTTGACCTCTAATAAGCAGGAAAAAACTTAAAGTTGAAGGTAGAAAACAAATTCTGTCGTAAACAAAATTATTTGGACAGAAGTACTCAAGTAGTCACAATATGTAGCATATATTTAAATAGTGTATAACTTTTTCATCAGAATTTTTTTTAAATGCCCGGGGGGGGGGACCTTTTAATCTTAATTAATTTAATCTTAATCTCTAGTTATTGCTACTACAAAACCTAATCTTCAGATTTTCACAGTTGCTCAGAGTTTTATTATAGCACTGAGAAGTGTTACAGCGTATAAATAAATGTGGGGTAAACCTGGCTGTCATCACAAGAAAACATGAACCCTAACCTAATTTCTCCCAGTTTCTCATAAATTCATGATTATTTTAAAAAGATGTGTTTGAGTAAATATTGGAGCCAGTATAACTGTAAATAGGTAAATGAATATATCTGCGGTCACCGAATGGTGTGAAGCTAACATACAAACAAGGAATGACAAGAAGTTCACACACGTGCATTTTTATGTTGTACAATGAAATGTTCTGATTCGAAATGACAAATTTTGTATGTCTGTTGAGAGTCACCAAGAGGCACTACAATAAATCACTGCTGAAAATACTGTTCCTCAATGAAATTTCTAGGCACCATAGTACCTGAGATTTAGCAATCCTGGCATTAGTCCAAATAACCATTGTTGATCAATGAGGCTTGCTGTTAACATGTGTTGTCTTCATCTGTTGAACAACAGTGGTACCATTTAGTCTGTTTTTGCCTACTAACTTGCTTGGCACCTTCACTATAAATCCAGGTGGCCAAAGGTCTGGTTTAAAACAATATAGTTTATCTCTACAAATGTAATGGATTGAATAGCAGGATGTATGAAAAGTTGAGTGGCTTTTAAGTAAAAATTCAAATATAATCTAGATTACAGTGCTGATGTGAACAGTCAGTCTAGAGTACAGAACATAAAACTTTGGGAAGAAATGGACTTCAGGGAGGTATATATTCAATAATGAACACTGAGTGGACTCCTGAAATTCTCAACAGACCCATTTTAATACCCTGTAGCATGTGTGTTCAGCATTGTGAATTTATTGCATGAAACAAGTGTCTCTTTAAAAAGTGATATTTTAAAGTTTCTGTGTGCAGGATATTCTTGCCATATTCTCAGTCCTTTAGGCACCATCAGAGGATATAACCCCAATGGGTAACTAAAGAGAAACAAACCATACTCTTGCTATTTACATTGCATGAATTGAAATCTGATCTAGAGTTAAAGTCCTGATTCCATAATTTGGAATGTGACAATGTTTGTTCTCTTTTCTTTAGGAAGAACTCTTGGACATTAAAGAACGTCCCTATTCTAAACAGAGGCCATCATGTCTTTCTGAAAAATATGACAGGTATTTCTTCTAAAGTAGCAGTGTGTAAATGGAATTCCTGTAATGCTGTTAACATTAGCCCTGTAAACATTTTGGAAGTTATACAGAAGGCAGGTTTTATGTCAAGTCTTGCTTGTAATTATTTTCAAAATCTTGACTATCAGCAAGACACCATAGCTGTATCTACATCAATACATATAAACATTATTGCGCAGTGTGTCTAGATACGTACCTATCTGAAAATATAAACATATTGATGCTTTTTTGTCTCTAGTTTGTTATCTGTCTAATGGCCATCAGAGATGCAAATTGCTTCTATAATATATAGAACTTGGAATTGCCATATATTTCAGGATTACAGTAGGGGATAATTTTGTCTTAAGCTTGGCTAGTCTCAACTGCTTTTTTAATTGAGGAGAAGACCAGATTGCTTGTGTGGTATCTATTGCTGGGACAGCCTGCTTGATGGGTAGAATGCATAGTTTAAAGAACTTCACATTTGAAGTGCTATATAGTAATTTTATCTAGAATACAGCTAAAGAATAATGAATAGTAGGTGATCTGTGAAGGCTGAACAGTAAAGCTTATGCTAGAGTGAAGAATATTAATCTTGCTTTGCCTAGGAGATCCAGCTGTACCAGAACATAAATTGAGTAATCCATATTGGAGGAGATGGTGATAGTCCCAAATTAAGGTTTTCTTGAATAAAAGTGTCCCGGATGAGGCATTTGTATCACAGAACTTAAGATAATAGTGGTGTCTAATTCCAATTCCCCCTATCTCTCCATATTTCTTACTTCAGGCCCATCTTCCAATGGGGCCCAGGGTAGTTCTGTCCATGGAAATCAAAAATTGAGCTTATCAAGTTTGATACAGTGGCAGATATTGTTTTGGCTTTGCAGTAAATCTATAGGCAAGAAAATGAGTTGGGGGGACATTCATATGTTGGTGTATGCAGCATTCATCCTGTCAAGGCTAGTCAAAGTGCATTATCTAGGGTTTCTGTGGTAAAGGTGTATCTTAGGAGTTTTGGCCTAATATACTCAAATGTCTAGTTCTGGCAAAATTATTGGTCCTCCTTGAACTAGGTTTCATATTTTCCTAGGGTTCATATTTTCATATACTCATGTGAAAGAATTCCCCAGAGAGGCATGTCTTAAATTGATAGATACGGGGTGGAAAATGGTCAGTAAAATCAGTAAAAGTCAGTTTTTTCATCTTGGTCAGTAATTTGTCAGTTTTTTTAAAAAAATTGGCCAGTAAAGTCAGTATTTCTTTGTTTTTTGTGAATGCAGTTTGTGTTTTTTTGTTTTCATTACTGCATTTTGGGGAAAACATGATAACTTCCCAGTGAGAAGACAGATTGTTTTTAGTTCCATTATGAAGTACTTTAAGGACTTTGTTCTTAAGACTAAAAGTGATTTGGTGAAATCTTCCACAATGTATAGAAACATAATTAACCTCTTAAAACATGAGACAATGAAAGCAGAGGTGATTTTTTTTTTTTTGCGAGTGCCTGTGCTTATTTACAAAGAACCTTTGGTGCATGTGATGCACAGTGAAGTAAAAACACAAGAACTTATAAGAGTTCAGCACCGTTGTCTCTTGAAGCCTTCGCACTACATACCACACTGGACATGATTGCGGATGAATGGAAACTTCTTAAGACTTGAAAATGAAACTGCCAGTGAAACTTGCCGCATAGATACATACTAGAATCAGTTCTTTGAAAAGACACACCCATCTGGAGATCCAAAATACCCACTGGTTACCAAGGTAGTGAAAGTAGCATTATCATTATTGCATGGTAGTACGGACATAGAAAGAGGGTTTTCAAAAACTGGATGCATTTTGACCGAAAGGGCCTGGATGTCAGAGAGAACTTTGAATGCCCACCTAATCGTCAAAGAAACTTTATATCATGTATATGAAAACAATGTATGCCATGTTAATATCACACAGGAGCTTTTACAGATGGCAAGAGCAGTTCATGTTCATTACAAGCAATATTGTGATGAACAGTGTGTCATTAAAGAGGAGTAAAATTAAAAAGAAAAGAAAGAGGGGGGAAAGGCAGAGGAGTTAGAAAGATAGACAGTGAAAAGGAATAGTATACAAGAGAAGGAAGCAAAACTGAAAAAGCTGAGACAACAAGAAGAGGATGACAGCTCGAATGTTGCTAAATGATGCAACCAAAAGTGTAAAGGAGGCTGCTGAGAAAAAGGATATGGTGGGATTCAACACAGCACAGCTCATGCTAGAAAGAAGACAAGAAGAAAAAAATGCTTGCAGATGCAGTCCAGAAAACTGTTGAGAAACGAAAGAGTTCGTTAATAACTTCTTTTTATTCAAAAAACCAAATATAAAGTAAAAGCAAAGACAAATCTTACCTTACAGTAATTGTTTTGTTGTCATAATGATTACTTTATGTGTGGTTTTTAATATGTTTTGCTGTTTTATTATCTATAGTATGTGATTATTTTTAAAAACAAATCTTTTTTTGCCTTAAATTTTGTACAATAATGAAAACATTACCCTATCTTCATTTTAAAACATTCAATAAAAAGGTGTGCAATCCTTTTCTTTGGATCACATCTGACTATGGAACTGGCGGAGGCCAGATAATAATTTTTAATGAAATCCTAGTTTTCTTTTTAAAACTGGCTGACATTAAATTGTTCAGTAATTTGTCAGTTTTTTGTCAGTATTTGGTCAGGGTTTTTGGAATTTTGGTCAGTAAAATCAGTATTTTTGACCCTCTGACTAGTTTCCACTCCTATAGATAGGGACTGAAGTGTTGATACCAGTTACAGGGGGATTGTGTTTCTTTAGGTTTTCTGACCAGGTAGGCTACAGCAGCAGCCACTACCACATTGATGTTCTCCACAGATTATGCTGTTGGATACGTGTACCATTTGGGTAGTGCTTCTGTTGTGCACTGAAAGATTAATTAGAAGTTTAAGTATCTATTCTGCTACCTACACTTCCTTGGGATAGAAGAAATGTACTAGAGCAAGCACAGGTCAACCCTCAGGTTGATTTGTATTACATACATTTAGCCAGTATGGTATAGTGATTAGATTGCTGGGCTAAGGTCAAATCCCCTCTCTGCCATAAAGCTTGCAGGGTGACATTGACCAAGTACTCTTTAATGCTAGATTCATATCCTGCCCTTGTTCCAAGGAGCTTTTGACAGCAGAATGCTGCTGTTGCACTTCCCATAGATGAATATCTCTCCCTCAAAGAATGAAATACTAGAGTCTTCATAGTAAGTCCACCTTGGAATAAGATATTTAGGCTTGCCGTTGTTGGTTCTCCCTAGAATTAACAAGCTTTCCCCTTAGCTAGATGAGCTAGAGCTCAGAGATGTCCGTCTCTGATGGATTACATTTGTTTCAGTTGCATTTGGAAACTTCTTCCCTGGTGTTTACTGCATACCTCCAATGGAAGTTTCATAGTTGGCCCCCTGGTGGATAGGCATTGCCCATCTATAGATGTAGTTCTTCATTTGAGAAAGAGGACCCTTCACAAGTAGCCTAATGTATTTCAATTGTAGACATGATATGGTAATATTATCCTAAACTGAAGATTTGACTAACTAGTAGGAGCAACTTGTTATGGAATACAAATTGTGTGTTAGGCGTCAACTTAGTATCTTACTAGTATAAATGTCATACAAAGTGGCCTTTATGCAAGATGACTAAACAGCTGCCTATTACAATTGGTTATAGAAGTGGTAACATCTAGAGTTCTAAAATAGTAAAGTGATATTTGCAACTCTGCAGCGATGGTGTCTGGGACCCTGAAAAATGGCATGCATCACTGTATCCAAATTCCGGGAGGACTTCACCGGTGGAAGGGCTTAAAAAAGACTCTGATGCAGATCGGACTTCTCTTATGCGCAGGATAGTAGGTGAGTGTATTGCAAAGGCACTTGGGAGCTATGAATCTACATTGTGACAATATTGCCTCTTTATGTGACAGAAAATTTTCATGACTTAAGTTGTTCAGGGGTAGTACATCCTGAATGTGTCTTATCATATAACCTTAGAAGAATAAGCCAAAATTACATTACTTTTTAGATCTGAACCAGCTAGGCTAGACCTGGCTATCTTTCTGGTAGCACTACAAAGTCTGTAGCTGAATTCTGCTTTGTTCCTATTTCCTGTTGAGTCTTGTTTCTGCTTCTCCATGGCTGCTAGGAGAGAGTAAGGCAGTGGATACAACCTTGACTGATGGGTTATCTCTGACTGGCAATTCTGTGTATACAGTGCATGCAGGTTGGAGGACATCTCAGCAGCATAAAAATACACACAAGGATCTCTCAAGACCACTGATTATCTTTGATCTCTTGTTTAAAAGCAGCCTGGACTCGGGCTGTAGTCTGTCCATGTGTGAAGCAGGAGTGTGTGTGTGGGGGTATAGGACTAAAGTATGTTGGTGAAGGGTGGTAGACCTTTTTTATATCTTTTTGTTGTGCTGTAACTGTCTGTTGAATGGCTACCAAAAAGTAGGTTGTTAGATGGGGGCAGAAGGATGTGGAAGTGAATGAGCCTAGCACTGTGTATGTAGAGGGGGAATTAACATCCCTTGGCATTTCTGTTTAGGCCACACTCATATCAGAATCTCTTAAGGTGAGAAGGGCAGAGGAAGTATCACTATATCGCCATATGTCTGCTTTACAAGGAAAAATCATAATGGCTCGAAAAACTAGAACCCTTTCTCCTCTGTCTCCACTGTCTGAAAATTTAGCAGGGAAGCTCTGTTGTGTAAAGGTGGAAATTACAGGCAGAAATGGTTTTATCTGAAACCAATGAGAGCTGCCAACTTATTTGAACAAACGTCATTATAAAGAATACAAATAAAAACAACAACAAACTGAACCTTCCTCATTCCATTCTTGCTCTTGATTTATTAAATCTGTATCAGTTAACTCTCCAGTGTAGCCCTATCTCTAACTCAGTTTCATCTTTGCATTAGTATTAAATAATCAAAAAAGTGGCAAAATTTTGTAGTTGAACGAAGCAATTTTTGTTTTCCTGAGCTTATTAAACTATTGTCAGCATGCAAAATGGATAAAACTCTTTTCAAATCTTTAGATCCTAGGGAACGGGTAAAAGAAGATGACTTGGATGTGGTGCTAAGTCCACAGAGGCGAAGCTTTGGAGGAGGCTGCCATGTCACTGCTGCTGTAGGCTCACGCCGAGCAGGGAGCCCACTGGAAAAGGAGAATGACTGTGTTCGTGTCATTGGTGGCCGCAGGATTGGCAGTGGGAGAATAATTTCTGCCCGGAACTTTGATAAAGACCACCGAGGTAGTGAGAAGGACTCAAGAGATGCAAGAGACAGAGACCGTGACAGGGAGTACAAAGAGAAGCGGGTCAGGGTCAGTACTTGGTCTAAGCAGAAGGGTAACCGGAGCTTGGTGTCTGTTTCATATCAATGTTAGACAGCTTTCCTTCTGGCAGAGATGGCAAATTATCAGGCAGGCAACTACAACTGTGCAAGCAACTAATGTGGTTCATAGTTTTAAATGAGGTGGATCATGTGCTGCCTGAAAACTGCAGTACAGTTGAATTGACTGGAAAAGGTTACCTTGCACATACTTTTTAAAAGCCAGATTCCCTCTCGGGATGAACTAAAATGCCCTAAATGACATTTAATTTAAAAACTTTCATTTACAGGGAATCCGTTGGTTACGAAAGTTTGTCCCAAAGCGTAGGTGACTCCTTGTTGGCTTGATCCCAACATCTTGCTCTGTTGAGAAACTGTTTAGGGGCATTTAGCTGGAGAAGCATAGGCTATGAGATATATAGAATGGTGGTGGAAGTGCCGTCAAGTTGCTGCACACTTATGGCAACTTTGTAGGGTTTTTAAGGCAAGAGATTAACAGAGGTGGTTTGACATTGTCTGCTTCTATGCAGCAGCCCAGGAGTGTATTTGTCATCTACCATCCAAGTACTAACCAAGATCAACCCTGCTTAACTTCTGAGATCTGATGAGATCAGGCTAGTGTGGACCACCAAGGTCAGGGCAATATATAGAACACTGTTGATGAAACTCCCAGATGCTAATCTGAACATCTGACACTGTACAGTACTCTAAAAAGTAAAAAATTATATAACTCTTTGAGAGGTGTATATGTATTCTGGGTGGTATATACATTTTGGGAGGTGTATGTACTCCTCCCATTTTTGTGAGAATTTATACATTCTGCTTCTTTGGGAATGCATCTCTCAGATGTTCATCTTGCAGATTTGACATGTTTAACATCTTGCTTACAAAGACTCATAAGCCTGATGTTATCCTTTCCTATGCCATTTTTCTTCAGAGAGAATTCGGGGACAACAAGCGTGTCTTTGGGGAACGTCGAAGGAATGACTCTTACACAGAAGAGGAACCAGAATGGTTCTCTGCTGGGCCCACAAGTCAGTCAGAAACCATTGAGCTGACTGGTTTTGATGATAAAATTCTAGAGGAAGAACACAAAGGAAGAAAACGAGCAAGGCGGCGCACAACATCTCTGAAAGAAGGTATTTCACACTGAAATGTAGATGGGCTGGAGCTAAGATGCCCATCAAGAGCAGTCACTGAATTTGAATTTGTCACTAGACCTTACAAAATGCAGTGTTTGTGGCTGCATCTATGAGGTACATGAGTATTGCAAGAGTTGTTTGACTATGGCCATCTAACTTAGTCACTGTGTGAAAGTGAAATATTGGTGCTGTAACTTGAAACAGAGACATTTGAACAGTATTTGGATTTGGCCTCTGTGTTCTCTGCCTGGGTGTCAGGTTGCTTAGCAGGATCATAGCACACACCAAGGCTTCTTAAAAAGGTAAGTGTTTAATGATAGTCCACTACTAAGAACGGGTATACAGCTTGTGTCAGAATTAACCGGCAATATGATGGCCACTGACACAGTAAAATCAAACGTATGTCCCCCCCCCCCCCCCCCCAAGCTAAGGCCAATGATTACGTTTCTCGCGCGCAGGCAAGCAAGCGGTTGTGTGCCCAAACTGTTAAGATTCTCAGGCTGGGTAATGCGGCAGCAGGAAGAACAAGGTCAATGTAGAGATAAGCGGCGAAAAGCTAGATAGGATGAGCTGGTGTGGTGAGGGAGATGCCCCCTCCACATTCCAACATGATAGGGCTACCTGACACTGGGTACACTGTCATGCTGGGTTGACCACTCACTCAGAAGGAATTATATTTGTGCGTTGGAGGAGGGGATTAGTTTTATTTTTAGAATATTAAAGTCCATTATTTTTTTCTTATTGGGGCATGACCACAAGATTACAGAAATGGGGTGTCATCAAAAGCTTCTGCTCTTCAAAATTTACCACTAAACTAATGCAGTTTATTAACTGTCCTTCTGGAGGAGCTTTCTGTGAACTAAATATACAGTACTTGTAAACATATCAAGCTGAGTCCCAGGAGGTGAAACATAGTGGCTTGGGCTACTTCTGGAAACTATCATGGCTATGTTTTTTCCAAGCTATAGAATGCAATGGTGGAGTAGCAGAAGAGGAGGAAACCCAGGGTGTTCTGGGCCAGGAGATGACAACAGATCAGGAAGTCCCAAGAGAAGTGGTATTGCCAGAACCAGCTCCGGGAGAGTTTGATTTCAATGAGTTCTTCAACCTGGATAAGAGTGTTCCAGGTTTGGCTTCGGTAAGTGTGACAACAGCCTCTCCTAAAATGGGTGCCATTGTGTACTAGAGTGCAGTGTCTTGGAGTGTGGTTCCATATCCACGTGACATGCTTGTCCTGTGGATCACTCGCAATGCCATCTTAGTGCATGGGGAGAAGTCCTACAACTTCATCCTTTCCTTGTGAAGGCTGCACATGACACTGAACCACATCTTGTAAAACTTGATGCTTTTCAAGTTTGGTGTAGTGGTTAAGAGTGTGGACTCTTAATCTGGGAGAACCAGGTTTGATTCCCCACTCCTCCACATGCAGCTGCTGGTGTGACCTTGGGTCAGTCATAAGTTCTTTCAGAGCTGTTCTCTCAAGGGCAGTTCTCGAGAGAGCTCTCTCAGCCCCACCTACCTCACAGGTTGTCTGTTGTGGGGGGAGGAATGGAAAGGGATTGTACATCGCTCTGAGACTCCTTCAGGTAGTGAACGGCGGGGTGTAAATCCATCTCTTCTTCAAACATGTTGAAGAAAAAATAAGCTGAGCTGAGATTTTTCTGTACTCATTGTAGTTATCTTTGTAAATGGGCTTAGTTTCAAAGTCAAATCCTGGTTATGTTTCTGAAATACCTGTAGCAACCTATTGCAGCCATATAGTATGCCTTTTCTTTGGACTATATTTAGCGTGCCAAAAATATCGGGATGGTACTATAGAAAACACAGGTATTGGACTCAACTGCCATGGAAGTCCATTATTTACATGGCCTCATGTTGGCATGTTTTATATTTGTATTCAATTTACAGGTAATTTTAGCACTATATCATTGATCCCTAGCTGCTTAGGTAAGAATAAAGGGATTTGCAGACATTGTGCAGAAGTGGGATTGCTTTAGAATAAAGTATGATTGGCAAAATTCTGTTCACTTGTATTCAAAATTTAACCCTTTTGCATCAATTAAAGTAGTTACTGAGTTGGCTAAACTCTGCAGTTTCTGTGTTGGATGCAGACTTGTTTAAATCTTAGGTAGAGTCTCTCAGAATAACCATAGTTTAGTTGTAAATGGAACCATAGCCAGTTCTGACTGACAACTTAATTTTCATAAATCTGTAAAGATTTCTGAACTCTGTAGATTCAGAACTAGTATTACAGCCAGTGAATTTCTTCTGTCTTGTGCTGTGGGTCTTCTATAGCTACACTTCACTGTACTGAGCAATCTAGTACTGCTTTCACTTCTACTGTGGCATCTGATCCTATGAACAGCAATTACGTCAATCCTAATGGTAACTTTAAACTTAGTTTTTGCCTCAAAAGGGGAAGTTATAAAATAAGGATTCCGAATGCCTTCAAGAACATAGGACTATTAAACTTTTTGTCACACATGAATTGATAATGCAACTCACTTTCAATGCAAAGCCATTTTTATTATATGCTATTCCGCTCCAGAGAGTTGCACAGTCCCAAGACACAAACATCCTGAGCACCAGCCCAAAACAAATCTGCATGGGAAGGCTGCTGTGTTAATCTACTGTGTTAATCTAAAGTTGTGCTGGCTGAGCTAAAATCATGGTCAGTTGCCTTTATGAGTCTTTGTAATACCTACAGTTTACCTGCCTTATCAAGGTGATTGAGGAATAAAATAGATTAAATGCACCAAAAAACCCTTTGCTTGTAGTTAAAGGAAAAGCAAATATTTTTTGGTAGCGTCAATCAAACAAGTTCTCTATCATACCAAGTTGAGCTATCATTCAGGTGCTGGTGGCATAGTGGAAACAAGACAGTTATTCCTGAAGATGCAATGTCTTAAGCAAATAAGGGCACAGAACATTCTGAAAGACTAAACTTAGTGATGTGTTCTGCACATCTTGACATTAAAGAGGGTGATTGTCTGCTTGTAATAGTACACAGGCAGGGCATGGAACTAATTTGGGTTCAAATTTGGGGGGGCAGAAATAACAGAATAGGGTGAATATTAGCAGTAGAACTCGGTGGAAAAAGCTGCATGTTCAAAGGACGTGGCTTTTAGTCAGAACAAAGGGATGGGTCTAGCAATCTATCAGCAGAAAATGCTAGCACTTTCCATTCCCCATCCTTAAGCAGCCCCTTCTGATTGAGTAAATTAACTCTGCCCATCTTACTCTGCTCATCTACACTAATAGCTACATGACTGGGGTTCTGATTTAGTAAATTAACTCTGCCCATCTACACTAATAGCTACATGACTGGGGGAGGGCTGCCATGAAGAGCGGGAAGAGCAAAGTCAAGTCAGCCTTTATTGGCATAAACGAGCAAAGTTGTTGCCTTGGCTCTTGCATGAGGACTTGTCCTCATTGAAGAGGGGGCAATTTGAGAGCTGTTATCACACGGGCAGTTCTCAAAAGAGCTCTTTCAGCCCCACCTACCTCACAGGATGTCTGTTGTAGGGAGGGGAAGAAAAGAAGAAGAAGAGATTGGATTTATACCCCACCTTCACTCGGAGTCTCAGAGCGGCTTACAAACTCCTCTCCCTTCCCCTCCCCACAACAGACACCCTGTGAGGTAGGTGGGGCTGAGAGAGCTCTGACAGAAACTGCTCTTTCAAGGACAGCTCTGACAGAACTATGGCTTGCCCAAGGTCATCAAGCAGCTGCGAGTGGAGGAGTGGTGAATCAAACCCGGTTCTCCCAGATTAGAGTCCGCGCACTTAACAACTACACCAAACTGGAAGGGAAAGGAGAATGTAAACCGCTCTGAGATTCCTTCAGGTAGTGAAGGGTGGGGTATAAATCCAATCTCCTCTCTTCTTCGTCAGTTGTGATCTTAAGATTTCATGAGATTGGTTTGCATTCTATGTTGTAGGAGAGTTTTAACTTACTGAGGGGGGCTTGGGGATCTTTCTGCAAACAAGGACTGCAAACAAGGACTGCAAACAAGGACGGCTGTACATTACCCCATTGTGCAGATTTTTTAATCTGCATTCTACAGCCATCTTCAGAATTAGCTTGATAATGGCGCTGGGAAAAAGATAAGCTTTCAGGTTCCACAGTTAAGATTTTTGCCTGAAGACCTTTTGCCCTACTGTACTTGCTGTTTGGCCACCAAAAGGTATGTACTAAACTGGGTCTTTTTTCAGTACATGGTACACTTGACTCTGCAAAAAAAATAGTAATACAAAACAGCCTTCCCAAACATGTCTTACAACAACAGTAGCATTATGAATTTGTCTGAAGATATATTCCATTCGCATATTACTGGTATCTTGAGTGTCATAACACAAGTAGAAGCTTTATTCCCTGGTTGAGTAATAGCTAACAATTTGAGATTGGACAACTAAGTTGAGCCATTGGATGAATTCCAAATAAGTGTATTTGCATAGTAGAATGCAGTGCGACTATTGCTGAGTGGCTGTGGAACAAAAAATTCAGGACAAACCGCTTCAGAAGTTTCTAACAATACAAAACAGATCATATGCAAGTAGACTGTTTGTATTGCCTAAGCAGCCATGCAAGTTTTGGGAAGGAAACTGATCTAAATGTTGCAAATTCTGGTCCAACAGGTCTGCTGAAATGTTGTGGATTTTGGCCTGTTCACCAGACTTTAGTTTGTCTGAAATGTTGCTAATTTCCCCTCATAATGCAGATGATAGAAGATGTGCTGGGGGAAGGCTCAGTCTCAGCCAGCAGGTTCAGTCGCTGGTTTTCTAACCCTAGTCGCTCTGGGAGCCGTTCAAGTAGCCTTAGATCTACACCTCACGAAGAGCTGGAAAGATTGGCAGGTAATCTAGTCTTTTCATGCATCATTTTCTTTCTGCGAGAAAGATGCAGGATTGTAAACTCTTCCGCAGTGATTGTTTACTGTGTAAATCATGATGCTTCAGCTTCTGAAGCAAACTTGGACAACAGTATCAAACATCTTTACGAAGAAGAGGAGAAACTTCATTGTGTTTTGGGTTGCTTAGCAAAAAATCTTACAAGGCAGTCCTCCTGGTTTTTGCTGTTGCAGGTCTAGAACAAGGCATTCTATCCCCTGGTCAGAACTCTGGAAACTACTTTGCTCCCATTCCTTTGGAAGACCATTCAGAAAACAAAGTGGACATCTTAGAAATGCTACAGAAAGCCAAAGTGGACTTAAAACCCCTCCTCTCAAGTCTCTCAGCCAACAAGGAGAAGCTTAGAGAGAGCAGTAAGTCTTCCCTTCTGCTGTTGTGATCCTATGATGCCTTAGGCAAAAACATGTTCAACTGCCAAGTTCTGGTTCTCAACCAGGAAGTACTGAATACTACTGGGATTCCCATGGATATCTGCATTGCCTTGGTACTGTCTGACCCTTATCCATAGGATGACAGCAGGATTACATGAAGCCTGTGGTGTAAATGAAGCTCCAGTATCAACCATACCTGGCATCTGAATCTGTTTCCATATTGGAAGATGGTGAAAAAGTCAAGCACTGCTAAGCTTGAGACTTGAGCAGCTCTTGCTATTTACACTTCCAAGTTTGCACCAAAGCACCTGTTGCCCCAGTAATTTAAGCCACACTTTCAGCAGCTAATCTGGAGTCTGTGGCTTTTATTTGGGTATCACCTATAAAACTTAATTAATAATTGGCTAGGACATGAAATGACAGTCATACTCATGAGGGAAAAAAGATAGGAAAGGAATGTTTTAACAATGAATGCTCCTGCTGGAATTTCTATTGGTGGTTGGGGCCCAAGCTTTTAATTGCATGTTAACAGAAGACTTGCATGGATGGTTTGAAATTGTATGCATGTGGTTTATGCATGTTCAAGAGGCTCTACATGGGCTTAAATTTCAAAATCTCTGGAAATAAGCAGCAGGTACAAGAGTACAAAAGAAACTTCTATTGAGTTTAATGACTCTTCTGTGTGTTTTAATCAGCAATCCATAATCTCTCTTGGGATGCTGGACTCGTATGCATGCTGGGAAGAGGGTAATCCTTGGTAGAGCTTCTTCCCAAATTATTGCCAAGTCTGGTGTTAAAAAAACACAGGCATGTGAATTGAGCACATGCCTCTGTTTGGGCAAATGGTGAAGCATCTTAAAAGGCCAAGTGTGTGTGTGCTGCTTAGGTCTGCAATTCCTAATGGAAACCAAAGACTACTGCGTTCTCCGTGGTGCTTCTGTGGCGCATCCTGTGATCACTGACTGGAAGCATCTTGCTTACATGGCTGGACGTTGGAGCACAGAGCATGAGCTGTTTAGTGATGCTTTTGTGGTCTTGCATGACTAGTACTGGGAATCTTGACAGCCACTCCCATGCAGTAGTACATTCTCTGTCTTGATTGACTTGACTTATGGTAGAAGTAGGCGACTTATGCTTTATTAAGCTCCTGAAAAAGCACAAATGCTACAACTTTGGTAAATTCAAGACAGTGTATACAACAGGCTACTGTTAAACTGCTCATTTGGGTAGCTGCTTCTGAGAAAAAGCAAGTAGCTGCTGATGAGGTGGTAAGAGGAGATTCCAAACCTTCCCAAAGTTCAAGGAGAGCATACAAGTTTGTAGTTACAAATTGAATGGTCTGTTAAATAAGTTTATACAGTTGATCCATCTTCAGCTCCCCAGAATAATCCTTGTGGCTCAAGATCCCTTGGTAAAACTACAGAAGTATCAATGAATGACATACTAATGCAACCTTCTGTAAGCAGAACACCTGCTTCTCAATGCCACATACTGCTCATCTGCATACAAGCAAAGAGATGCTCTTTGTAGGCTACTTGAACCATCTGGCATTAACAAGAACCCTGTATTAAATTTCTCTATCAAAAAAGCTTAGATCATGAAGATCATCAAGACCTCTTTGTTCATTTGTTTAATTAGATTTTTATCCCACCTATCCCTCACCATGTTGCAGTTAAACTATTGCTTAACTCTAGCTTTTGAGTAGAAGAATGGTCAAGATTCTAACTTGGTGCCTTGCTTAGCTTACAGATTGCATGTTGCCTCTTATTGCCTTAAAGCACAATCCTGTCTCTTACTGCCTTAGAGCACAATCCACTAGGAAGTGTTGTTGGTGCTGCTCCTATTCATTTAAATGGGGTTTGCATAGAAGGGCTTCCCACTGGACTGTGCCTCATGCTTTTAATGTCAATGATTGTACTATAGCATCATGTAATGCTGTATACTTTTTCAAGGGAATGCACACCTATTTGCTAGCTTGTAACTTTTTCATATTTAACAGTCTCACTAATGCAGTGACTTGAATAAGCAATATTTTTGAACTACCATTTCCTTTCTTGTTTGACTGTTGTTGGAAAGGTCTGAGAAAAATAACTTCTGATTGAACTACTGATTGAATGTTGGTATGCTTAAATTTTGCATGGCCTTAGTATACCAGTCCAAACAGTGGTCTAGAACAAAGCTGATGTTAACTACATGTTTTGATTTTGCTGTTGCCACTGAATCTTGCTTTAAACAGAGCCATGTTTTTAACTCTTCCTCCTCCCCTTCCTCAGCACATTCGGGAGTTGTACTTTCAGTAGAAGAAGTAGAAGCTGGCCTGAAAGGCCTGAAAGTGGGTCAGGAGGGGAAAACTGCTACCCCCTTAATGGCAGAGCAGATGGAAGAGGCGCTAAACATGACAGACTCCCAGCAACCTAAAAAGGATGGTGATATGTCTGCCTTCAACAAGCTAGTCAGTACTATGAAGGCAAGTGGAACGCTCCCTTCACAACCGAAAGTCAATGTAAGTATCTGGTAGTAGTAAATTTCATGTACCAGTCAGGTTTGGAGTGAACTGAAACGGCTTTCTTGGGTTGTATAACAAGGGCTGCAATCACACAACTAAATAATCCACTTTCTTTTGTAAAAACATTTTTAAATTAATTTTAACAAGAACTTTAACATTAACAAACAAAATGCTCAATATCCAATGGTCTCCAATAAATGTTACATTAATTAACTTTTTATTAATCAATCCTAATAGAACCCTCCCCTCCCTTTTCCTTTGTAAATAATCTATTAAAAGCCATAAGATCCCTTGTTAGGGGTACAAAGAGATTCATTTAACATAGCAACATCCATTCATAACCAGTCTAACCAAAAATATCATTAATAAATAGAGGCTTGAATTTGCCTCTAAAATAGCTTAACTTAAAAGATCATACACTTTTGGATATATGAAGGAGTTATTCTTGTATCATTATTGGACAAATTTGATAAAATGGGGGGGGGACCACTGTCCTATAAACATCACTCAATACTCACTATTTTCTGCATATTTAATCTTATCTGTTAACCTGCCTAGAACAAAATATTCTGCTATTTTATTAAACCATGCTTGTTTTGTAGGTTTAGATTGGCTTTTCCATTTGCTAGCTATGATCATTCTGGCAGTTGCCTATAAAATTGTAATTGCTTTTTTGGTGGCCATTGAAGAGATGGTTTCATACCCATAGTTAAATAATACCACTTCTGGTTTACAAAGTAATTGAACGCCTGTGATTTTTTGAATATGAAATATGACTTTTTCCCCAAAAGTTTTGTATAACTAAACAGCTCCACCAACAGTGAATATAGTTACCCTGTAACCTGCATTTCTTCCAGCACATTTTTTAGTTTATTTTTGAGATGTAGGCTAAACGTGACGGAGTTATATATCAATGAGAAAGGGTTTTAAAAGCCTGAAGTTGTAAAATGTCATTACTAGAATTGTAAATAGGTAATGATCTAAACAATCAACTTTCAATCCACTTTTAATGCACTTTCCATCTGGATTTTACTGTGTGAACTGGCAAAATCCAGATGGAAAGTACATTGAAAGTGGATTATTTAGTGTATGTGATTGCAGCCAAGTAGACTATAAATACAGGTGTTCATTTGAAGTGATAGATTGTTAAGTGATTCGCAGCCTCTGAAGACAACCTGGTACTGTTAAGACTTTCCCTGGATGCAAGCGGAAGCTTTCAGCTTCAGTGCAACATTTCCCAGTATGGGGATGGTGCTAGGAGTAGTTCTTAGAGTACATAAAATACAAAACCATTCGGTTGAAATGAGCTAGCTGTGTTATCTCTGTAGTCTTTCTGGCTGTGTCATGCGACAGGAATTGCTCCTGGAACTACTCTGCAGATATGAAGTATTCCTGTGCTGTTCTATATGCTGGTTGTAAGCTATAAACCAGTGATACTCAGTGGCTCAGAAGCCCCATGTGGCTTTTTGACATAGCGCCTATGGCTCTTAGTATTGTTTTCCAGCGTAGTGCCTGCCCCATGTTTCAGGTACTCCTTTATAGTAGAATCAGTTTGTTCTCTGGCTGTCAGTTTTCTGTGTACACTAGCTGCAAGACCATAGCTACTTTTGAGGGGGCAGTGCAGTCTACAGTCACATTTCTTAACTGATTTAGTTAACCAAAGGGTCCCCCAGAGACAATTGCTAAGTGGTATACCTGATCCAAGGAGCTGCGGTGGCTCAAATGGTTAAGATGCTGAACTGCAGGCTGTGGAAGGTCAGTAGTTCAGCAGTTCGAGACCCGGGTGCCGCATGATGGAGTGAGCTCCCATCTCTAGTTCCAGCTCCTGCCAACCTAGCATTTCGAAAGCAAGAAATTGCAAGTAGATAAATAGGGACCACTTCGGTGGGAAGGTAACAGCGTTCCGTGCGCATTGGTGTTTAGTCATGCCGGCCACATGACCACGGAAACGTCTTCAGACAGCGCTGGCTCTTCGGCTTTGAAACGGAGATGAGCACCGCAACCCTAGAGTCGGATTCGACTGGCTTTCGAGCAAGGGAACCTTTACCTATACCTGATCCAAAGGGTTTGACCACTATAGTATCCGAAGATGATCATCTGATCAGGTGAGGTCCGCATTTTTAAGATACCTGAGCTGAAGAGAACTATGCAAGCTACTGTACTATGCACTTCTCTTAATTAACTGTGTGTTTCACTCAGGTTATGTGCTTATTAGATAGGATTTTGTATACCAGAGAATGGGTTAGCAGAGGAACATACAAACAACTTTACTGTTCCACATCAAAAATATTGCTTCCTTTTTAGACACTGCTTTGCTGAATAGCACATTAATGGCTCAATTGTACTAATGTCAGTTTACTTCTGGTATGGTAAACAAGGTCTGAGGCCACACGTTCCTATCTTAAAAACTGACTGGTCGCTGAACTCTAGCCTCCTTGGGAGCCTGGCACATCACTCTGCTTCCTCCGTTGACACTTGTAGATATCTATATAGATGGCTTTGTAAGCATTGACCTGTGGAAATGTCATGTAAAAATGTAACTTTCTTTCCAGCAAACTCTTGAAAGCCACTTGATATCTCCTCCTGAGATGCCAGGCCGGCCAGCCACAAAGAATATTTTACAGGTAGTGTGAAGTATCTTTTACTTGTTAGGAGCCATACTTGTTGGGGGCCCATTTTTGTAGTCAAAGGCAAGTTAGGTTCGGCCAGTGCACCCTTTGACAGAATGTTAATTTTGCTTTCTATACATCAGTGCATTGTCTGGATTTGGGTGACTACAAATTTAATGTTAAAAGTTTGCTGTGCAAAAACATATTACGGCAGATGCTTATACGGGGTGGGGGGTGGGGAGGGTTACAGACTTTAAAGCTTAGCCAAGCAGAGCTGGACTGGACAAGCAAGTTGTGTTGCAGCCTTGCAAATCCGAAAGGTATTGCTCTGCCTGCCTTTAAACATATATTAATCTGTTTTGGAAAGAAAATGACTCAAAAGTTTCCCTACCAGTTGTCTGGAGGCAGTTGCTGCAATAGGCTGCTTAGAATGCTTATTCTAGGACTAGGTTCTCAAGACAGCATCTGATTCTGATGTATGCTTTCATGGAAAGCTTGGTACTACTTTAGTCTTCAGGTAATACTTGCATGGAAAAGCTGTTGTTAAATTGCTGGGTTTTTTTCCTTCAAAGGAGATCCTTGGGCCACCTGCTGGAAGATCGACTTCCACCAATGTCCTCAGTGGTTTGATGAGTGGCTTGGAACCTGTATCACTCCTTGGCCAAAGAGCACCATCTCCTCCAATTTCACAGATGTTTCCCACTCGAGCTGCATCTGCTGACTATTTGAGACATCCAGTCCCCTCCCCAATAGGTAAATACCTTTCTATAGAAACCTTTCTTACTAGATTGCCTCTGATGCATTGCATCCTAGATATCCACTACAGCTGAGAGCTTCCAACCAAGACAAGCAATACTAGGGCTTTGAATAATACCTTGGTCAAAACTATCGCACTGGTCTAACTCATCAAGTCAGTTCTCCTCTGTTTCAGAGGGCTTGTAGTTCTGAACTGCTACATTTGTTCAGAGCTTGTACTAGCAGTCCTAGATATCTGACCAAGAAAAACTTATGTATTCTGGACCTAAAACACCATAGAGACTTAATGTCATCTTCTCACTGTCTTCGTAGGCTTTGGACCAAGTTCTCAGCAGTTGCTTGGTGATCCATTTCAGGGAATGCGGAAGTCAGCAAGCCCAGCTGCTGCACAGGTGGGAGTTTGAACTTTTCTTCTACCTTTCGGGATCTCATCTGGAAATGTAGGTTAGAAGAGATATAGAGTGAAGATCAAATGATATATATGTTACTAAGTGTATGAGTATTACAAGTAGTAAAAATGGCAGTTTCACTTCGATACCACTGATACTATATCCTAAGACAGCACCACACCTGCTGAGACTATACAGTCTAACCCGATGGTGCAAGAAGTGTAAACAAGTTCTACTACCTGCAGTGGGAAGTAGCATTTTGGTTGAAGGTTAGGATGTACTGTATGTACCGCAGTGGCAAGCACCAGGAACATGCTCAATGTGCTAGTGATTTAGCATGATTTGTATTACTACCCAGGACTAATGAACAGGTAAGGTAATAAGGATAGATAGCTGAGTAAGATTGAGTGCTATAGTGCTCAATGTGAAAAATTCATGTATTAGAGAAACTATAAAAGACATTCTGTCTCATGGAGTCTTATCTGCCTTGTACAAACCAAAGAGGTTGGTTCAGCTAGCATAAAACAAATATATTGAAGGATTGGGTATGGACCTGTTTCTGCTGCACAAGAGGTACAAGACAGCATTTGTGGTATGGAGTATATGCAACAACAGAATTTCCTGTGATCAACACCAGTAGCTGAGCTAGACTAGCAGAGGGCTATATTGGTCTTCCCTTGGCCTTCAGCTACAGCTAGAACATTGAGGGCTGAGGTAGGTACTTAAATGATCTTATGTCTGCTGACTGACCCAGAGAAGTTGGAAGCTTGGGTTTGTTTGAGACTTACTAGCCAGTCTATGATTTTTCAGAGCCCTACTTGGTGTAATCTTCATTCAGAGCAAAGATGGATACTTCCCAGAGAGAGCCTGTTATGTAATGACATCATCAGCTATGGGATACTCTTCCCACAAATATGATGCCTGGCCTTTTGGGTGTTGTGATTAGGTCCAGAGATTTATTTTCTCAGGATTATCTACTTTGGTTCTATTAATATCTAATTTGCTTGGTTTGTGTCTTCTGTTGGTGAATCCATATCAGGTGAGACCATGCAAATTGGCTGAGCCTTACTTCCTAGCTAGTCCAGGAAGGAAACTCCCAGTTTCTTCTTGTATGTTCTGCAACTGTTGTTATTATTATTTATTCAATTTATGAATTGCCCCATCCCTGTAAAAACAGGGCTCTGGGCGTTATACATCAACAATAAAACAAACGTGAAATCAAATATACCATTAAACATGTAATTAAAAAACCTAAAATCCAAGATGGTGCCTTAATAAATCTTTTTCCCATACTGGACTGTGCCGCCCCATGGGCAGGACAGGAGAAGGGAAACAGATGAAAACAAGGAAAAGAAGGAAGGAGGGTGCCAATGATGGTCACACCATTGCTGTCCTCAACCAAAAGCCCGGCAGAATATCTCTGCCTTACAGGCCCTTAGAACTGCATTAAATCCCACTGTACTTTGTTTTCTCATCAAGCCTTTTGTAATCTTCTCTGATCTAATTTTCCTCTGCTCTTGACTGTAGTCTCCGAGAACATAGTACAGTAGCAAACATCAACAGGGAGTTCTTTGCCTCTACCATTTGCCTTTTCTCTAACTATTTGACCTACTGTATGTACCTAGCCCCCAAGTAGTGTGCATTCCACTGGAACATACTGCCTGTGTCATACAGGACATCCACTACCAGTCTTAAATTGCCTTTCAATCACTCGAGAATATACTAAACCCATTGGTGTGAAGCACAGAGACCACGAAGAAGATCTTCCTGTGATCAACACCAGTAGCTGAGCTAGACTAGCAGAGGGCTATATTGGTCTTCCCTTGGCCTTCAGCTACAGCTAGAACATTGAGGGCTGAGGTAGGGACTTAAATGATCTTATGTTTGCTGACTGGCCCAGAGAAGTTGGAAGCTTGGGTTTGTTTGAGACTTACTAGCCAGTCTATGATTTTTCAGAGCCCCACTTGGTGTAATCTTCATTCATAGCAAAGATGGATACTTCCCAGAGAGAGCCTGTTATGTAATGACATCATCAGCTATGGGATACTCTTCCCACAAATATGATGCATGTTGGGTGTTGTGATTAGGTCCAGAGATTTATTTTCTCAGGATTATCTACTTTGGTTCTATTAATATCTAATTTGCTTGGTTTGTGTCTTCTGTTGGTGAATCCATATCAGGTGAGACCATGCAAATTGGCTGAGCCTTACTTCCTAGCTAGTCCAGGAAGGAAACTCCCAGTTTCTTCTTGTATGTTCTGCAACTGTTATTATTATTTATTCAATGTATGAATTGCCCCATCCCTGTAAAAACAGGGCTCTGGGCGTTATACATCAACAATAAAACAAACGTGAAATCAAATATACCATTAAACATGTAATTAAAAAACCTAAAATCCAAGATGGTGCCTTAATAAATCTTTTTCCCATACTGGACTGTGCCGCCCCATGGGCAGGACAGGAGAAGGGAAACAGATGAAAACAAGGAAAAGAAGGAAGGAGGGTGCCAATGATGGTCACACCATTGCTGTCCTCAACCAAAAGCCCGGCAGAATATCTCTGCCTTACAGGCCCTTAGAACTGCATTAAATCCCACTGTACTTTGTTTTCTCATCAAGCCTTTTGTAATCTTCTCTGATCTAATTTTCCTCTGCTCTTGACTGTAGTCTCCGAGAACATAGTACAGTAGCAAACATCAACAGGGAGTTCTTTGCCTCTACCATTTGCCTTTTCTCTAACTATTTGACCTACTGTATGTACCTAGCCCCCAAGTAGTGTGCATTTCACTGGAACATACTGCCTGTGTCATACAGGACATCCACTACCAGTCTTAAATTGCCTTTGAATCACTCAAGAATATGGAGAGAGGTGTCAGCTGGAGTAAGTAGCTAGCAATCATGCTCCAAAGCATTCATCAGAAGACCTAGTTAAATTCTTGCTTGCTTTTTACAGCAGGAGCTGCCATTGGGTAGCAAAGTGAACATCTATTTTTAATACTATCTTTTATTGCATCTTATTTCTGCCTTAGAGAGAATATAAATCTTAAACCAGTGTGGTTGGAATACTAGAGTAGGATTTAGGAGGCCTGGGTTCAAATCTTCTCTCTTCTGTGAAGTTTGTTGGGTGACCTTGGGCCATCCATTCTTTCCTGTGGCCTAACCTACCATACAAGATGGTTTTGCTAAAGAGAAGACACAACAGTGTACATTCCCTGAGCTCTTTGGACGAAGGGAAAATGTTCTAGATTAGAAAACCAAACCATATCTCAAAGCTGGGTTTATTTGTGCTTGTGCAGAATTGAGAAGCACAAGAGAATGCTTAACTTTTAAGCAGCTGAATTGCCAGCTTGACTGACTAATTTGCCCCTCTATAATTGCACTGCAGAATCATCAGTGGTAAATGTGTTATTTATCAATGGGATTTCTATCCTGCCTCCCCCGCAAGTGGGGTCAGGGCAAATAACAGGCAAATAAAACAGTTAAAACAACATCCACATACTGACAGTTAAAAACCTATAAAACCTGGATTAATTTAACACATGATGGCGAACTGGTACTTGAACACGGCTCTCAGGTGCACTGGCTGTGTATGTGCCTGCAAAGACATCCCAGTCAGGAGGTATGCCACTACATTTTGGACCAGCTGAGGTTTCCGGATCAAATTCAAGGGCAGCTCTGCATAAAGTGAGTTGCAGTAGTCCAGCCTAGAGGTGACAATTGCATGGATCACCGTGGCCAAGTTGTGAGAGGAGAGATGGGGAACCAGTTGCCTGACCAGCTGAAGATGGTAAAATGCTGATCTGGCAACATTCATGACTTGGGCCTCCATTGAAAGCAAGGCATCCAAGATCACTTCTAGTCTCTTCACTGTTGGTGCTGGAATTAATAGCTTAAGCAGCTGAATTGCCAGCTTGACTGACTAATTTGCCCCTCTATAATTGCACTGCAGAATCATCAGTGGTAAATGTGTTATTTATCAATGGGATTTCTATCCTGCCTCCCCCGCAAGTGGGGCCAGGGCAAATAACAGGCAAATAAAACAGTTAAAACAACATCCACATACTGACAGTTAAAAACCTATAAAACCTGGATTAATTTAACACATGATGGCGAACTGGTGCTTGAACATGGCTCTCAGGTGCACTGGCTGTGTATGTGCCTGCAAAGACATCCCAGTCAGGAGGTATGCCACTACATTTTGGACCAGCTGAAGTTTCCAGATCAAATTCAAGGGCAGCTTTGTATAAAGTGAGTTGCAGTAGTCCAGCCCTGAGGTGATGATTGCATGGATCACTGTGGCCAAGTCGTGAGCGGAGAGATGGGGAACCAGTTGTCTGACCAGCTGAAGATGGTAAAATGCTGATCTGGCAACATTCATGACTTGGGCCTCCATTGAAAGCAAGACATCCAAGATCACCTCTAGACTCGTCACTGTTGGTGCTGGAATTAATAGCACCCCACCAAGGGTCGGGAGTTGGATTCCCAATCCCTACCCCACCACGGCTCAGGCACAGGATCTCCATCTTGGATGGATTTAGCTTCAGCCAGCTCTGCTGTAACCAACCAGCCACAGCCTCCAGAGCCCTGGGGCGGAGTCCAGTCAGTCATCCAAAAACAGATACAGCTGGGTGTCATCAGCACCCAGACCAAACCCCCAGACCAAGCGGGCATGGGGGCACATATAGATGTTAAGCAGCTACTGTGTAATATGAAAATCTACTGTGTAATATGAAAATATTATGTTGTAGTATGAACTTAACAGTGATGTTAATGTGAAACTGTACTGACATCCTGCTACAAGCGATACCAACCAGTTTTGATAGCACTTGATTATCTTAAGGTTCAGCTTTTTCATTATTCCATGCTACTTCCTTTAGATGTGTCAACTTGAGTTACAGCAAGCTGCCTTAGAAGGACACTCTCTGCCACATGACTTAGCCATGCAAATGTCAAACTTCTACCAGCCGGGCTTTGGTAAACTACAAATGGACAAAAACAGAGATGGCTTCAGGAGCAGGTAAGCCTAAACTTCAGATCTGCCATCTTAAACCAGTGCAAGACTATTTCAGTGCTGCCTCTGTTTTGTCCTATCCCTGTTTTGCAGATGGTCAATATGAACTGCACATTGAAATTTGTGCTGACTTAAGAATTTTGAAGTTTTAAACAGTATAGGAATTTGATTTCCATGTGGTTAAACACAGTACTCATAGTAATTATACCATGTACTTTGGAGAAGGATTAGCCTGTCTTTTGCCTTGCATCTGTGAAAGTTATTGTGTTCATTCCTTATAGATTTCAAATTGGTCACTATGGTTTATGGTGCAACTATTCCAGTAGAGTAGAGCCCGGAAGGACTTAATTAGTTAGTGGTTTGTCTTCCTCTTTCCCACTGATCAGCATAGCTATCCCTGTGCCTACAGGGAAGTTTCCAGATAATTTGTTCAGTGTCAGGGAGACAGGCTTGATGTTTTGCCCGGGAAAACTGAGTCACTGCTATGTAGCATTGCTGATTTAGATATGAAAGGTCAGTCCAGTGATTCTGTTGCTTTGTTGCCAACAGATCTGTAAGGAAGATTGTCAGTAACATGTCTCTTTTGTAGGCAGCAACGGATGACTAAATCTCCTGCTCCTCTTGGCCACAGAGGGAATGCATCTTCTCCTCCAGCACCTGCTGCTTCCATCACCAGCATGGTTAGTGCCACTATGCCCTAATAAAGGATTTGGAACCTAACATTTTTAGTTCCAAGATGTGTAAGTTTGTTGGTTATGTTACCTGAGAAGGAATTTAACTAGTAAGTCTGCTCTTGGGATGTACAAAATAAAAGGCTGTGTGACCGGTTGACATGTGTTGATTCCTGAACTTGGCACTTCCATAACCATAATACTTTCCCCATGTGACTCTCCTTGGGTTATGTCCTTCTGTTGACCCCCCCTCCCCCCGGTCTCAGGCACTGCCTGTGAGTGCCCTGTAGAGTTTTTACTGGTAGATATGGATTTGTTATATTGGATACTAATTTCTGGTGTTTGGCTCTTTGCAGCTGTCTCCATCCTTTACTCCTACCTCAGTAATACGCAAGATGTATGAAAGCAAAGATAAAAGCAAAGATGAACCCAATCCTTCAAAGCTGAAATCCGGTGAGAAAGATGATGGTCCAAGGGCGAATGAAGGTACTGTGTGTCATGTTAGAAAAGGAGAGACAAGTAATGTGGCTGATGTAGGGATCTAAAAGCAAGCCAAAGTGATGCCATGCTATACATTGAAATCCACGCCACTTCATGCAGAATTGTGACCTTAGAAGAACAACACTTTTAAAGCTTAAACAAGGCTTTCCAGGTGGAAAGCAAGATAATGACAGAAGTTATAAATCAGGTATCACAGAGGCCAAATGGGGAAACTGTTAAAGGCTATTTTGACCAAACTGAAATTCCTACTATCAGTTAAGAAAACACATGAAGTATTAGCTGAAAAGAAATCCTGACAAGACAGGTTCTCTGGGTTAGCAGAAAGGCAGACCAGAGACTTCAGATCTCCCCTGTCTTGGATGGGATTATACTCCCCTTGAAAGCAGGTTTGCAACTTGGGAGTGCTGTTTGACACAGCAGTCACCTTAGAAAACCAGGTGACTGCTGTGACTTGGAGTGCATTTGCCCAGCTGCAGCTGGTGTGCCAGCTGCACCCATTCCTGGTTCAGTCAGATCTGGCCACTGTGACCCATGCCTTAGTTACATCTAGACTGAACTGTTGCAGTGTGCTTTACTTGGGGCTACCCTTGAAGAGTGTTCAGAAGCTGCAGCTAGTGCAGAATGCTGCAGCTAGACTGCTGGTCAGACCCAGCTGGAGTACATGTCTCTGATACTGCAGCAGTTACATTAGCTACCACTCTACTCCTAGGCTCAAATCAAAGTGTTGGTTTTGACCTTGAAGACCCTATGTAGCTTCTTACTGGGTATTTGAAGGACCGTCTTGTCCCATATGTTCCTGCCCAGGAATCAAGATTAGAGGAAGAGGCCCTCCTGACTGACCCACGAGTTAGAGAGCTTCATCTGGTGGGGGCACACAGGAGGGCCTTTTCAGTGGCAGCCCCGCAAACTTCCCCAGGGAGGTGCACCTGGCCCCTTCATTGTTGATCTTCAGGAGGTAGTTGAAGATGTTTTCATTTAGGACTGCATTCGATTGATGTAGTTCTTTATTGGTGGTCCTAACTGGAGTTTTAAATTGGTTTTTATTGGGTTTTTATTTTTATAATTGTTGTTTTCACTGTGGCTTTGTTTTAGTGTTTTATTTATATTGTAAGCTGCCTTGAGTTCTGCAAAGGAGAAAGGCAGGTAATGCGATCTCTGATAAATATAATCATATCTAAAATGGGTGGCTGATGCCAAAGAAACATAACGTAGAAATTTGTATATGCTGTGCCAATGAGGGGGGGATCTCTGAGTGTTGCAGACTTGGGGAGTTACGATGAGAATTGAGAAACTTCCAAGAGTGGAATGCTGAGAGCAGCTGAGTTGAATGAGGGAAGAATATCTTTCTCCTCAATGTCCTACAAGCTTATCAAATTCTGGAGTAGGGAGATGTCAAAACTGTTATTCTTCCCCTCCATATGATTTTTCAAGGCCTCCTGCTTTATTCTTCTGAAAATGGCTGATATTATTCAATCATGAAAGTACACAAGCTAAAGGAAAAACTTCTGTACAGATATATAGAAAAATCCCCCATAACAGAGGAGGCTGAGGACAATTTAGACAAAAGGTTTGGATATACACATTGCCAGTTGATTTTCATGGTATAAGAGCAAAATGCTTACATCTTCATTGTGGCTTGCAGGGGCTTCTTGAATTGCAGTCCCACAAGCACACACTGCATAGCAAGGTATATCTGGCTATTCTAATGAATTGGATTGATCTGGTAATGAAAGTTTGCAAGTCATATAAATCTTGTAGTAGAGCACTAAAAGCTGCAGACTCTCTTATTGTGGCTTGCAGGGGCTTCTTGAATTGCAGTCCCACAAGCACACACTGCATAGCAAGGTATATCTGGCTATTCTAATGAATTGGATTGATCTGGTAATGAAAGTTTGCAAGTCATATAAATCTTGTAGTAGAGCACTAAAAGCTGCAGACTCTCTTTTGTTGTTCAGTTGCACAGTCGAGTCCGACTCTTCGCGACCCCATGGACGAACTCTCGCCAGGCCTTCCGGTCTTCCGCCGTCCTCTGAAGTTGGCTCAACTTCATGTTCGTTGCATCGATGACACTGTCTAACCATCTCATCCTTTGCCGTCCCCGTCTTCTTTGACCTTCAATCTTTCCCAGCATCAGGGTCTTTTCCAGTGAGTGCTCCCTTCTCATTTGGTGGCCAAAGTATTTGAGCTTCAGTTTCATTATCTGGCCTTCCAGGGAACAGTCAGGGTTGATTTCTTTGAGGATTGACTGATTTGTTCTTCTTGCAGTCCAAGGGACTCTCAAGAGTCTCCTCCAGCACCATAGTTCAAAAGAATCTATTCTTCGGCGCTCGGCCTTCCTTATAGTCCAGCTCTCGCAGCCATACATGACTACTGGGAATACCATTGCTTTGACCATGCGGACTTTTGTTGGCAGGGTGATGTCTCTACTTTTTATCATGCTGTTTAGGTTCGCCATCGCTTTCCTCCCAAGGAGCAGGCGTCTTTTAATTTCATGGCTGCAGTCACAGTCTGCGGTGATCTGGGATCCCAGGAACGTGAAGTCTGTCACTACTTCCACAGCTTCCCCTTCTATTTGCCAAGGAGTGATGGGGCCGGATGCCATGATCTTAGTTTTTTTGATGTTGAGCTTCAAGCCCACTTTTGCGCTCTCCTCTTTTACCCTGAGCAAGAGGCTCTTGAGGTCCTCTTCACTTTCTGCCATCAGAGTGGTATCGTCTGCATATCTGAGGTTGTTGATCTTTTCCCCAGCAATCTTAATTCCCGCTTGTGATTCATCCAGGCCAGCATTTCGCATGATGTACTCTGCATATATATTAAATAAGCAAGGTGACAATATACATCCTTGTCGTACTCCTTTTCCTATGCTGAACCAATCAGTTGTTCCATATCCGGTTCTAACTGTCGCTTCTTGGCCCTTATACAGGTTTCTCAAGAGACATGTGAGGTGGTCTGGTACTCCCATCTCTTTAAGTTCTGGGTCCCCGACCGAAGTGCTCTTGGGGGTATATGCGGGGAAAGGCAGTCCCTCAGGTAGGTCGGACCCTGGCCATGTAGGGCTTTAAAGGTAAGTACCAGCACTTTGAAGCGGATTCGGTACGCTATTGGCAGCCAGTGCAGCGCCTTCAGCCCAGGTTTGAATAGTTCAGCTGGAATACCATCACCTCCACTAGCTTTGTTGTTAGTAATGCTTTCTAAGGCCCATTTAACTTCACATTCCAGGATGTCTGGCTCAAGGTCAGTGATTATACCGTCGTGTTTGTCAAGGACATTGAGGTCTTTCTTGTATAGTTCTTCTGTGTATTCTTGCCATCTTTTCCTAATCTCTTCTGCTTCTGTTAGGTCCCTACCGTTTTTGTCCTTTATCATGGCCAGCTTTGCATGGAACGCTCCCTTGATTTCTCCAATTTTCTTGAAGAGATCTCTAGTCCTTCCCATTCTATTGTTTTCTTCTATTACTTTGCACTGTTCATTCAGGAAGGCCTCCTTATCTCTCCTTGCTGTTCTCTGGAAATCTGCATTCAGTTGGGTAAATCTTTCCTTTTCGCCTTTGCCTTTCGCTTTCCTTCTTTCCTCTGCTATTTGTAAAGCCTCATCAGAAGCCTCTGCTATTTGTAAAGCCTCATCAGAAAGCCACTTTGCTTTCTTACTCTCTACCTGTGCCAAAAACAAATGCAGATGACCACTATCAACCCCTGATCTTAGTGGCTGCCTGCCTGAAGCATTGGGGCTTTTGGAGCTCAGAGAAGGCTCAGTTCTGACTGTGCAGTGGCTGGGCTGGCCTATTAATACCAGGCAATGCTGGCTATACTGGGGGGAACTCTGAGAGGTAGCAGAGCCTAGGGAATTCAAACTTCTTTCAGGGGAGGGGGGAGGCCAGGATGACTGGGCAGTCTTTCAGAACCTAGCTCCAGGGAATTCCAGGAGTGAATGAACTGTGGAACTTTTGCAAGGATCAGCCTGTGGTGTCTGGAGTAGAAAGCCTAGACTCAAAGAAGGCTGTTGAGATCTCCCCCCCCCCCAAGTCATCTTGTGAATCATCAAGTGCGGAGTCCCCCTCACATGCAGTTTCTCCCAGGTCATAGCCAAAGTTTGCTAGTAACTGTAAGTAGCTTCTGGTATAGTAAGATTTTGTTCCTAGTTAAGGTAGCTTGGCAAACCTAGATTATGTGAGAATATATAGAATTGTAGGTTTCCTTACATGTCCATTAGGGAGTAAAACACTTGGGATGGTAGAGGGTAAGGAGCAGTGTTCCCTCTAAGCTGAGTTTTTTAGCCTCCGGCTCACACATTTTTGTCTTAGCTCAGGAAGGGTGGCTCCAGAGCAAACTAATCTATGCAGTAACCAAATCGCTCGCTCACAACTTTAATGACAGTAGCTCACAAAGAAGAATTTTTGCTCACAAAACTCCACAGCTTAGAGGGAACATTGGCTACGGCCCTTAGGAGAGCACCATAACAGAGCAGGGAATTGTACAAACCACTGGAATTGTGCTTCTCTCCAAACATGAGCACTGCACTCTAGCTTGCATTTCCTTTAGTGTTGTACCCACAACAGTAGAGTGGTCAGGATGTATCTTGACCTGGTGAGACTTGGGGCACTGACCCATGCATCATCACTGTGACTTTGATCTGATTTTTCCACTTTTTCTTCCTCCCCTGCCTGTGAAAGTAATTTTGGCTTGCAAGGTGACGAGAACATGGGAAGGCACCTTGTAAGCTGCCCTGAGGTGCTTAGGTCTGAAGAAAATTTGTCATGGCCACATAGCTGTGGTGGCTTGTAATGAGGTGAGTTTTGTTTCTTGATTCTCTTACCTACGTTGCATTCAAAACACATGTTCTCTTCACAGAGAGCCTGCTGCCATCTAGGTCTGTGGACCATGTAGATCAAGAGAATGCTCCCTCTATTGGCACCAAGCTAGTGTCACTGCAGCGCTCAGCATGTTCAACACCACTTTCTCAGACCAATCGTTGCACCAAAGAACAAGATTACAGGCCGAAGGTCACTGGAAGAAAGACGCCTACCATGGCTTCCCCAGTGCCCGGAGCTCCTTTTCTCCGTCCTGTCCACCAGGTCCCCCTGGTTCCTCATGTACCAATGGTACGGCCTGCTCATCAGCTGCCCCCAGGATTAGTCCAGAGGATGCTGGCACAAGGTGTTCATCCACAGCATCTTCCGCCTCTTCTGCAAGCAGGTATACTTTATTCATATAATGGGAAATAAAATGATCAGGTCATTGATCAATAACAAAATATCTTTTATCATCACAAGGTTTGAAAGAATACTGTCTAAGTAACCTCTTTTCTCACAAAGGTAGCAACCATTAGCATTATGAAAACTGGCATTTTCTTGTACCTGGAACTTAGTGGATATCTCAATTAGAATGTTTTTCAGCCGCTCCACCTAATGGAAAGGCACAGATGTTTGGTTTCAGATTCGACATTTCGTAGAAGTAATGCCTTAAGAACCTAAGAATGCAGTGGCATACCTCCTGATGGATAACATTTAATTGGGGATTTTGTCTGGGAGGCTTAAACCACAAACCATTGTTGAAAATACTGGTTCTGTCCTGAGTCTTCGTAATGGGTAAGCCAGAAATGCACAAAATGGAGTGCAGCTTTTCCCATTCTTGATTTTTCAGGTGTGATTCCTCCTGGAGTAGACTTGACTCACCTACAAGGAGTATCTGCTCCTATCCTTGGTCAGGCTTGCTATCAACTGCCGACAAGTGGCCATCCTCTTCTGAACCCACGCTCTGGGACACCCCTGCAGCTGGCAATGATGCAACAACAGCTACAGAGATCAGGTAGTGCTAGACTACAAGAACCAAGGGATTTGAAAATGTACATGATATTCTCAAAAGGTAGAAACAGCAAGCTGCTTAAGGTGTGTGGAAAAAGAAAGTAGAATGCAGTTCTCTGACAGGCACCTTCTGTAGAGTCTGTTGGTTGTTAGATTCTTGCAGAGTGCTGGATAAGGTACCCTTTGGTCTGATGCATGAAGTGATCATCTTACACTAACTCATCCTGAGCATGTGTGTTTGCAATGTGAAGCTTACACTTCAGTCTTGCTTGGTCCATCCCGTTCCCTCCAATGGAATTAAAGAAAACCCATTCCTGCACTAACAAGCTCCAAGCAGTTGTTTGTGAGTCCATAAATATGTGGGAAAGGAAAGGTTGGTTTCAGTTGCTTAACTTGGAAGCTCTCTAATCAGCAGCCCAGAAGGCTAGAGCTTCCTGTTGCTGATTCAGAGATTTAGAAACTGAGGGCTTGGCAGCACTGCTGCCGATGTATATGTATGAAGTAGTTCTGCCCCAAACGGAAGTGGGTGTCAGAAAACACTCCAACCATTGGCACAGGATAATTTATACCTACAGTAGTTTGGTTTGCTGTACTTTGCTTCTAAAATTGCACTGCTAGCTTTGATCAGGCTGCCCAGCTCAGGAGACCTTACTGATCTATATGTATAAAAGCAAAGAACTTCTGGCTAGAGGGTCAAAACAGATGCTCCACAAGTCTCCTTTTGACTCTCATTGGTATCGATGCTTGACTCAAAGGTTACATTTCTCTCTCTCTCTTCCCACAGGCTCAAGCACACAGGGATCTGCTATGGGTGTGCAGACAGCTCCTCAGAATGTGCCATCTCGGACTGGACTGTCTCACATACACTCACAGCTTGACCATCGTGCTAGCCAGCGAAGTGGCTCTCCTGTTGGCCTTGCAAAATGGTTTGGCTCGGATGTCTTGCAGCAGCCTCTTCCTTCTATGCCATCCAAAGTAATCAGTGTAGATGAACTGGAATATCGGCAATGAATAGCCACAGGGGAGAGCAAGTACCTGTGCTGCTTTCGACTGGACACCGATGTCCTTGGGAGCTTGTCCTCTTGTGCTTCACTGGTATTTGTTTTTGGGGCCCTTTTGGTTTTAGCACTTTGTGCAAAATTATTTTTTCTTTTCTTTGAGTGACTAAAAAGCACATGGCATTTGTCCCAGTCTCCTTGTCTATATTGAGACTAAAGGATCTATTATAGACTGAACAGTGAACCCAGAAGAAACTCTGATGCAAGACAGTGCCAGTTTAATTCTGGAAGCATCTACTTTTTGTGTTTGGCTTTTTTGTAAGATATGTGAATGAAGTGCTGGTATCCTCTTGGGGTAGAGGTAGCAGCTAAGGGTTCCTCACAGGGAATTAAATGTATAGACCCTTGTGTACAGACCAATGTATAAATGACTTTTGTATATATCCACCAGATAGCTTTTTGAACCTATACAGCTGTACATAAGAGTAGCTGGTAAACTTAAGCTTTAGTTGGTGTACCTATGGTTTGGATCTTTTCACTGTACATGTGGGACTTCTTTAAGATTAAAGGTGCATATGTCAAGTGTGAGTGAACAGGGTGAAGTTGCTTTGCCTCTTTGGTCTCCTCTGCAGTTTCTCCACTGCATCTCTTGTCATGTAATGTGGTGGCAATAACTAGTAGGGAAAATATGACCACTGTACAGCCTGCATTTCTCTTATCAAAAGGAAATAACTTAAGCTCTTAACAGCACTGAATTTGGGACCTTCGGCATCCCCTAAACACTGAAAGTGGGTTGTTGCATACTTAACTCTATTAGCTGCCTCCCTTAGACAGATTCTGATATAATGGGTCCTCATATCTGCTGGGGAAACCACTAAAATAATTTTCACCTAGTTAAAGGTCAAAAGCAGATCCTCGATTTCTCCTTGCCACCATTGGTGCTTCATGGTCAGTAGCTACAGTAAACCTATTCTGTACTACTTCCAGCTGTATACCGGAGAGGAGAGGCTTGAACGTATCCTAGATCTGCCTCTTGGGTTTGTTTCATAGCAGTGAGTTATCAATTTACTAAGTTTTTAATAATGGCCTTTTTACCATATAGCAACAGCTGAAGCATTGCTGCAGTCTCCTCTGCTTCTTACCTCTTGCTGGAGGGCAGTCTGACTTGCTATTCTGTCCCTTCCCCATATTCAAAATAAAACAACAAACTGCTGAAGTTCTTAAAACTTAACAGCATGCTGTGACTACGATTGATGACCAGGAGATACTGTTGAGGAATGACTTGTCTGTTGCTCCAAAAATTATGGAGTCCACATGGACCATCATTGACTGAATTCACTTTTTACAAAATACTGAAGTGTAAGTACAACTTGCAGTCACTGCCTCATCCCTGTAAGATTGTTTCATAGCTTTTTAAAGTGACTTTTCCCCAAAACTCATGCTGTAAATAAAGTCGATTCTACAAGCTGTCTGTCTCTGCTGTGTAAAGGAACATCAAGTGACTTGCTAGGTTCTGTTAGCTAGCTGCCCACTGGGCTGCAGCTGCTTCTAGGATCTTGAAAGGCATTTTAACAGAGCTGCTTTTACATAGAGGCTGCTTTCATACTATACGCAATAATGGGTGTAAAGCACTCATCTAAAGCTTTGTAGTCACCACAACAATCTCTTGTTGCTTTGCCAGTTCTTCGTACACCAGTGATATAGGAATATAAGAGAAGCCAATGTTGAATCAGGCCAATGGCCCATCCAGTCCAATACTGTCACACAGTGGCCAGAAGTACCAGGTGCCATCAGTGGAGCACCAGGAATACAGATCATCACTTGCCTCAGAGTTCCTATCTATACCTTGTGGCTAATAGCCACTGACGGATCTCTGCTCCATACCAGTGAGCTACCCATCTATATAAGAGAAAGTCCCCTCACTGTAAAATCAACACCCAGACCAAACCGCTGGACCTAGAGACACCAAATTTGGGGAGAGCGCTCCTACTGTGGCGTAGGTGCTCGCTAAGTAGGGATTTTTAGAAATTCAACCCCTAAGTGGTCAAAAGGGGGGGAATGTCCTCCCCCCCCATTGATTCCTATGTGGCTGCCAGGCAGCTGCCTCTCTGCACCCCCCACTCTCTGATTGGTCAGCTGCAGAGCTCAGTGTTAGGAGGTTAAAAAAATTAAGTTACAGGGGACTGCACAGAGCTAATGACAGCTGAGGAAACCAGGAGTGGCCAAAAACCACCTGTGAGGTGAAGCAAAGGTGCTGGCCCAGCCTCTCTGATGGCTTCCAACATACTCCCCCCACCTCCTAACAGGCAGTTGTCTGTCAGGTGCAGTCCCACCACAGTGGCTTCTAATACTACTCCCCCTCCTACACTGGACAGGCAGCTGCCTGTCAGGTGTAGGAGAGGAGGTGGGATGCTTACAGCTACCAGGGAGGCTTGCTTAGCAGGATTGCCTTAGCACTGTTGCTGGCCCAGCCTCCCCAATGCCTTTAAATACAATCCCCCCCCCCGACACCAGACAGGCCGGTGTCTGTCAGGCGTAGGAGCAGGGCCAGGGTATGAATGTTTATGGTGAGATAGTAAAGGACATTTTGATTTGTGCCTCCCTCATGAACCTGAAGAAATGTCCACCACATCACCACTCCCTCCTCACCTCTTAACTGCCCCCAAGAAAGCTCCTGGCAAACGTTGAGCCAGATACAGCAACGCTACAAGGAAAAGGCAACTTAGGAATGCGGCAAAGACATTTGCACATAGTACTCCTGCAGTGCACTGAGCTGCACAGACCAAGTACCAGCAATATCACACTGAGGTGCTCAGAACAACACAGTCTCCATATGAGCATAACAATCCAGGAACACAAGTAGGAGAGGCCTTCACTTTAACGGAAGGTAGCAAGAGATGATTTAACAGATGACTGCTTCTGAAATGGACAGTTCTATGTGGCCTGCCCCAGAGTGAGCTCATCAAGCAGCCTGGTGATCCTTGCACCTGAGGGCAGAACCACCAATGTGGTCTAGAGAGAGGTCCTTCAGTAGGGGCGGGAAAGTACGTATGTCTCACTTAATTTCTTACACTACAATCTTCTCTGTCAGAATTCCTACAACAAATGTCACATTTCAAATTTCATATCAGTATTATAACTGGATTTACGGAATTTAAATACTGTAGCGAAACATGGCTAGCAGGCTAGTTCCTGCAATAAAAGCGGTTTGTTTTCCAAGTTAAAAAATCACAGGAAATACGTACTGCTTTAAGCCACTTGGAATAAGAATACCTAAACTGGCTTCTAAGGGTAGCAGAAATGTTACTTAATCACATAGTATGAAGGCTTAAAATAGTTTAGCAGACCACTCCAGAATGTTTACTGTTGATCAAAGTAAGGTGTGCTAGTAAGTTATTCCTCCCACCCATTCGACAAACAGAATTGTCATCCCTTCTGCTGAAAAGGAGCCTGGCCTGTTCCAAACCGGCCTCATGTTTAACAACAGGCATATCCCTGCTTCAGTACTTTTTACTTTAAAGGGCAGAGAGGATTCTCTTTTCTTCTCCCCCTTTTTAAAAGGAAAGGTGGAAGTTGTGCTGTATGGCAACATATCTCCCTGTTCCCCTCCATATTTTGCAAAGAAGCCATTTTGCAGCTACCAAAAAACAGAGGCTGTAGGATGGGAAGACACGTGTCTGAGAACTGAGCCCCAGAACTTTTAAAACCACCGAGTCCTCTGGATCCTTTTTAGAATTCTATCTTCAGTGAGAGGCAAGCAAGAAGGAAAAGGATACCTCACTGTTGCTGCTCTTCTCACTTGCCTAGGTTCTGGTGTGGTGGTGAGTGTGCCGCTGACCCTCCCCCACTCTGAGGCTTTGGTGGCAGTTTCAAAGCAGGATCTGAAGTACATCTCTCTGTTGGCTTCTCAGGCTGGGGGAACTGCGGCTGGCAGCCAGCAGTAGAGAGACCATTCTTAGTATCAGTGACTAGGGCAGGCACATGTATTTTCTAGTAGGACATGTGGAGCCCCATAGTGTTCAATAAAAGCTCTCTATCTGCTGTTCTGGCTGCAGGCCCATACTGCACTGTGGTCAGGGCTTTTCTACCTGAAAGCCATTTTGCTCAACTCATCAGGACTGGGACCCTGGGCAATGGGCTCATGTTAGCTGCAAGCCTAGGCATGCTTTAACCTTGGATTAGTTTGTAGTCCAAGAAAACAGGATTCCTGTTGAGCCTAGCCTTATAGAACCAGCGGTATCCAAACATCCTCTAACCTTCCTTTCACTCTGCAAATCCATTGGGAGCTGGCAAAAGTAACTTATTGCTCCCTACTAGCCAAGGGGCTTCATGGAATCTCCAATCTGATAGCGAGCAAGAGCTCAAGTCTCCATTGGTCATGAAATCCAGCTGCAGAATCCTGTTTTAATCCTACCCGAACTGATTCTATCTGGAAATGTAAAGAATCTGAACACCTCAGTTAACTGTCTTCCATCCATATGTGAATGGCTTCCAGTTGATCTGATACAAGCAGCCGTATGTGACACCCCTTGAAGCCAATGTTGTAATAGGGCTGCAAAAAAGAGTATTTCATTCCTAAGTGATAGGGATTCTGTAAGTGCCTCCCCCTTCTAGGCAAGCAAGCTAAGTTTGTTGCTCGATGCTCTGAAGCATGTTAGCTGCTCTCTCTGTCCTCAACCTGGGAGAAGACCAGCTCCTCCCTGTGCAGTTTCACTGAAGGTTTTTCTCAAGACTGTGTTTCTGTCCTGACTCCACACAGCTTTCCATCCTGGGACCCTGACAAGATCCTTTGGACATTGTACTAATTGTCATTCAGACTCCTGGTTCAGTTCACAGCAAATCTTGCCCTTCAAAGTGACCTTCCTTATGGCTATTGCAACAATTTGTAGAGTCCTAGAATTCTCCCTGTCCTCCTTGGAGTACATCATAGTGGTGGTAGAGACTCCTAATTCATCCCTAGGGTGAATTCATATCTCCTTCAGAAACCAGGAGCTCCTGCTTTCTTACTTCAGTCTCATCTCCAGTTGGATAGAACAGTGGAATTTATGCCATACTTCAAAAGATATGGCCCTTTGTCATCATTCACACTATCCATTTGAATTTTATATAGCTGGGAGCACAAGAGGAAGGCTTGTAGGTTTTCTCTAGTCAGAGGGCTCTAACTGGGACATCTTTCTGTTTGGGAGGTACATTGAGAGAGTCTTGGGTAGATAGTCTTCTACAAGTTGTTCTGTAATTGCTTGTTCCATGCAGGATAACACAGGTTTTCAGCATCCATAATGTTAAAGGATACCTTCCTATGCTCATGGAGAATGAAGCACTGCAGTTAACATGAGCATTTCTGATCAGTGGATTGGAAGATATCCTTTCCCACCTCATGGAGACTGCAAGTTCAACAGTCAGATTCAGCAAGGATCTTAGTTTTTCCTACATAGGCTGCAGCAGTTTGACTGCTGCAGTTTAACATAATTCTCTAAATTACCCTCCTTTACGAATGGATACATGTTATACTTAACATTGGTGGATAGAGGATATCCTGAACTACCCCGGTTGTCTCACTCTTCCTGGGACCGATCAAAGATTTCTTTTTGCAATTCAGTTTTGGTTTTTTAAAAAGGTCCTTCTTGAAAATAGGTCCTTCATTTACATAGCCCTTCCTATAGAGTAAGCAGGATTAACTTTCACTAGGATAGCCCTCACGGATACAGAGAGGAAGTCTGATGTTCTTTTGTCTGGCAACCTTTCTACCCCCAGTGTTATTAATGGGGGCTCTTACAATAATACTGTAAGAGAAAGGGAAAAAACTAAGTAACCAGTTGCTCTGTGTCATGAGTTACTTATGTTCTGACTCAAACAAATTACTCCTTCTCACTGGAGTGCACCTTTAGTCATAATAGCTTGGAACCATCAAACTTGCTTTGAAACGAGGCCACCCACAGATGAAGCTGGAGTGTCTACTTATTTGACAGCTTTCAGTTGCTCAGAAAAATATGAGTGTAAGCTTAAAGAAAAAAAGCAACCACCTAGTGAAAGTGGGCATACTCATTACTTTCCATGCATCATGTAGTTTTGAGGGCAACTGAGAATTAATTTGGGGTTAAAGGAAAGAAGTCATGACAGCTCATAGGGCCTGGGAGTTAAAATCAGTGGATATGTGCTGCAAGACATGCATCCTCCAACCTCAAAGCCCCCAAATTTTACTACACTAGTGACTTGGTCGCCTTCCCATTAAGAATCATAATGTTTCCTTTCTGTCCTCATTAATCATATACCCTGGCTCTGAAGAGAACAAAGCCTCTTCAAACTTAACAATAGCTGCTCCCCGAACTGCTCAGATTCTGAGATAGATTATTTGCTTCCTCCAACCTCAGTACTGTAAGACAATCACATTATAGCACTGAAGAGCACTGGTTCAAACTAAAAGCTGCATCTGTAACCCTAGAGTAGGGATGTGCATTCGGTTCGGTCAAACCGAATGCACCCCCAAAAATGGCCCATTCAGGCCCCTTTCGGGCTGCTGCGGGCCAATTCAGATTCTTTGATCTAAATCAGCTTGCCGCCAAAATTCGATGGCAATTCGGCCCCATTATATCCTATGGGCCATTGAAGTCAATGGCGAAAACATAGGGTATATTCTGGGGGCTGGAGGGGAGGGGGTTTGAGGGAAAGGCTCCAAACTCGCAGGGTAGCTGCTGGAGCCTCTCCCCAAGATACCCCCAACTTTCAAGAACATTGGACCAGGGGGTCCAATTCTATGGGCCCCCAAACAGGTTGCCTCCATCCCCTCCATTGTTCTCTATGGTGGGAAAATAGTTACTTCCCCCCCCACGGTGCTGTTAGCGGCTCCGGGGGGGG